GTTTATACCATTTAATGCTTTTTTTAAAGTATGGTATTTTTTTTAAATTTAGGGCCAATGTTCTCGCAACATTTGTAAAATATGTTTATTTACAATGTTTTGGAAACCTTAAAAATGTTTTCGTAACATTTCCAGGGAAGAATCTTACAGATACTATGCCAAAACTATTTGGAAAAAAAAATATTTGAAACCGTTTGGGAAAAGGTAGACAAAATCAAGATCAAAACATTTTGAAAACCTTCATATTTTGTTGAACTATTGTTTGATTCTGAATTATTTCATTTACCAATAAACAAACGATATTTTTTCCATATTTTTAGATTTTTATTTTCTTAAAATAATTTCAAAAGAAACCACACAATCTTTTTAGTTCCCATTACAGGCGGCGTCATTATACATGTACGTAACACCTCCCTATGTACAGAGTATCAGTTGGGATATGTGTACCTGATCCCAGTTGTTGTTTTAACAATTTACTGACATGTTTTTTAAAGATATATTCGACGGTAGCTGGAGATCACTTGAGTATTTTAAAATATCTATCATCAACCTGAGAAGATTAAATTTTGGACCCCCCCCCCCCCCATCACCACACACACAAGAAAAAATAACTAATAAAAAAAATGATAAAAAAAATAAAAAGAAATAAAAATGAATATTGTAAAGATTTATTCTTCGTCGTCTGTTATGAAAAAAAACCATCAAAGTATATCTTTATGACAATTTTTATTATATATATATACATAAAAATTAAAATTCGGATTTAGCTTGAAATATTACGTACTATGTGTAATTAGAATAATATGCTATATCACCATAATAAAATAATTTGTTTAGATCCCGAAAAAAATTAACTCAAGTCCCGAATCGTCTTTACCCAAGTCCCGAACCGTCTTGTTGCTAGTCCCGAAACGTCGTATTAGTCAGGTCCCGAAACGTCGTGGTCCCGAAACATCGTGCACCCGGCATAGTGATGATCCAGAAGATACTAATTATGTCCCAACACTTTTTTCTTACAAGGAGAAGGCTGTGGATGTAAAAAGAGTTGAGAGGATGACAAAACGAAATTTACAGAGGGTATATCAAAAATCAGTTTTTAATATTTACATTTGCTGTGTTTTTCTACTAAGCCAACTGTGAAATTGATATGAATACCATTTTAGTGTATACTCACGCATAGAAATATGCACTGAGAAACTCGTGCTAAAGTGACGTCACAATGAGGATACAGAGACATTAATAAAAAATGTAACGATATAGGACAGTGAGAAATTCAAACAATGAGTATATTGTTGGTGATTTTGAACATGTAAAATGTAAATATAAGGAATGTTTTTAAGTTTTGTGTGAATTATTGGTGTGTAGATCACACAGACTAGCACGTAGGCATATTTTTCATGAAGTGCTAGCTCGCTTCATGAAATATGCCTACGTGACAAGTCATTCCTTAATTTCATCAATGTAAAAAAGACATATGATATGATAATTGGTCAACCCTTTTTTCCTATAAAGTATATGTACATGTCATGAAAAAAATATTAAATATTCTTCTCATTGTAAAGTACATGTATTGGAACACTTGTTCCAAATTAGATTTTTCCTTTAGTTATCTTTACTATAATTTTTGTTTTGAACAGGATTTCCAGGAGGCTAGAGAGAGAGAGAAGAAGCACTGGAGAAGAAAAGTGTGAGCTTTTCTCTTTATGCTCACTCATACTGCAAAGGTGAGAGTCTAGTCAGACTTGTATTGCACAGTTGAAGTTTAGCTGTGTGAAGAAGATTTAAGTAAAATCAGTAACTTTAACTTAAAACATGATTTAATTAATATTTTGTTGTACCAGGGTTTGACATTAACTTTTACGAGTACTAGACCAGTCGGGCTACTTCCCATAATTTTTACTAGCCCCGACCATAAAATCACTAGCCCTGACCAAACTTGAAAATTTTCTTTTTATAACCTGTTATTATGATGGAAAAGAAGTTTCAAAACCATACTGCAGTGTATCTCTCGCATGTATACATTTTGACAGACTGTTCCATAGGTAGCAGCCCATTGAGCCCATAGGGAGCAGCCCAATGAGTATACATGCGAATATTATAAGCTTTAAAGAACATTAATTCAAGGAACTTAGATAAAATTATTACCATTAATATACATGTAAATAAATCAAAAACTATATTATTCAATGACTATTCATACCAAATGATACTGAACGAAGCTAGTTTCGACTGTGACTTGTCTATTACAGCCTGGCTCAAAAATAGCGATTGTGGCATGCAGGGAAGTTTTCTTTTTCAGAGCAATGGCTGTGTTTGCAATCGGAAAATTAGGAAAATTTCTTTAAAAAGATTTTAGAGCATTTATTTGAAAAACTGAAATGAGGGTTAACATTTATTTCATCCACACGACCAGTCGGTCTAGTTCATGAAAATTTAACACGACCGGACCACGCATTTACTAGACTGGGTCGGTCAGACGTGCCTTAGCGTCAAACCCTGTGTACCCATAATTTATGATGCAATAATGCCAATCAGAATTGGATTGTTTGGCTTTAGAATTGTCTATGAATGTGTTTATGTTTACAGATGATGAGGAAATTGATTCACTTTGTTCAGCTACAGGCAGTATATTAGAGGAGGAGGAGGATGTGGACACTGGTGTCAAACTGACAAGAGATATTGGTATATTCTTACAAAATAAATTATATGTGCATCTTAAAGGTATATCGTACATCTGGCATGTGATCTCAAATATTATGCCTGCCATAACTTATTAGACTTATTAGTCTAATCATTGTTTTCATAATATACAATGTAATTAACATAATCAGAATCAATAAGAACTGAATTTCAGAAGCATGTTACAGATTCTTTTTATGTAACCACCACAAGTTGTAATTTTTTACTTTAGATTTATAGTTATGATTCATATAATATACATGTATTGTCTATTCAAGGGTAAACATTCATTAAATGATTGTAGGTGTACAATGTGATCCAGATCCCTTGTTACTTGAGAACAGGAAGCTCCAGTCTGAGTTGAGAAGACTGCAAGATAGTAAATGGTCTGTGGCAAAGATCAAGGATGATGATGCCATGACAAAGTTTTATACGGGACTGCCAACCTTTGCAGTTTTTTTATGGCTCTTCAAGTATGTATATAGGAACATCCAGTCAATATTGACAAATATTATATAAGATTATTTCTGTAATTTTCATTGGCTGAAAGGATGTCAAATGATATTCGTCCTTTTGTGATATTGACGCAAAAGCACATTGGTGGAATATGACATCGCATGACTCACACTTTGGCTCCACCAAAGTTGTGTAGAATGTGACGTCATAATATAAGAAGCATGTGTTTACCATTGTGACTTAATGTCAGCCAAGTCTGTTCAGTTAGGACTTTGTCAGGATATTCATTTTGAGTGATTATATAATATAACTAATATAAATGAATGGTAAGTTTGGTTATAAGGAGCCATGTCAAGTGATGTTGACCTCAGACACAGAAAATGATAGCGACCTCGCAAGCTCGGTTGCTATCACTTTCTGGGTCTTTGGTCAATATCACTTGAGAGGAGTCCTTATAACCACATATCGACCTACACTAAAGTCCATAATTGTATATTGTTATCACCATGATTGTTTAATTTGCAGGATCATGTGATCAAGTTTAAGCCAATGAGATAGTTGGGAATGATATAGTAAAATATGATTTATTAATGTTCTTGAAACCACTTTAGCATCTAATTTATCTATCCATTCATTTACCCATCCCTTGATGTATTAAAAACTTAATTCTTTTATATTCAGTTATCTGGCTCCCAAATGTGAGAGAATGGTATACTGGAGAGGCAGTTCCTCAACCCCAGAAGAAAGGAGCAGAACTAGAAGGTGCATGGCTTTGGAGCCTATTGATCAATTCTTAGCAACCTTGATGAGACTTAAGGTAATCATAGGAGAAACACAATATTATATTATATTATATTAATTGTTCCATGCTTTTTGATTTAAGGGTTCATTTAATATTTAAATTTTTTATATGTGTCTTCAATATTTAAAGGTTGGCTTGTATGTCCAGGACATGGCAGAGAGATTTGGAGTGTCAACAGGGACCTTTTCGCAATACTTTGCAACTTGGGTGTGCCTTCTCTACAAGGAACTGAAAGAGCTTAATCCCTTTCCATCTAGGGATATTATACAGAGAAATATGCCATCATGCTTTCATTCTTTTTCAAATCTTAGAGTTATACTTGATTGTACAGAAATATTTATTCAGAGATCTAGCAGTTTGATTAATCAGAATCAGTCATTTTCACACTACAAGCATCATACCACTTTAAAGTTTCTTATTGGAATCACTCCCTCTGGTGTTATATCTTTTGTTTCAGAGAGCTTTGGTGGGAAGGTGTCAGATCGCCAGATGATAGAGCGATCCCTCTTTCTTGAACTTCTGGAGGAAGGGGATGGGGTGATGGCAGACAAGGGTTTTACTATACGAGATTTGCTAGAAAAAAAGGGCTGCACTTTGAATATCCCACCTTTTCGTTCTTCTTCTAACCAATTTTCTACTAAAGATGTTTTCGAAACTCAAGATATTGCTAAATTAAGAATTCATGTAGAAAGAGCTATAGGTCGTGTGAAGAATTTTCATATTTTTGATGGTATTCTTTCTCTTTCTTTAGTGCCATTAGCGTCACAGATGTTTGCTGTTTGCTGTTGGATTACAAACTTTGATGTCCCTTTGATTGAGAATTAGGTAAGTTAAAGAACAATTTAAAACTTCAAGTATTCCTTTAACGCCTGCATAATGGTATGAATTGAATAGGTGGGAAGACAGAAGTGGAAATGTTGAACACTACTTCTTGAATGTTTTCCTCTATAAAGTTAAAATGATAAGGTCCTCATTTGATCTGATGGCTAAAATTATCAGAAATATTATGCAAAGACAAATTGGTCAATCAACACAGGTTTCAATGAGGTATCATGGAGTTTTACTATTTAGTATAAGAAGGTGAAATATAACTAACAAAAAATTCTACAAGTTTGGGCATCATTGAAGTTACAAAGGTAACATCGAAATAAACTCTCTCGATAAAGCAATTGCTCTGAGAGGCAGCTGTCCAAACCACAAAATCTCCCCATGAGCAACCCATGATGGCCATCTCTCCCTGAATCTGGGCATAGTATTTGTGGGATCTTTTCAAGCGAGGGCCCTCATCAGTCATCTCCAGACAGAAACCACCTTGTCCAGCAAGTTCATGCACCTATAAATTAAATTTCTGTAGATCAGCAATTCAAAAAACAATTAAGCTGAATAAATGGAGAAAAAAAATACTACTGTTGTACCTGTCTGTCTGTGATGACTTCATTGGAAATAGAATAAGGACATTTAATTTCCAGCACCCCTTTCTGGTTACCCACTGGCATGGACTTATCATATATCCATCCATCACTAGAGGCACCTAAAAATGCATGAGATGGATATATGGTAAGTCCTGATGGTTCCACTGTTAGATTAGTAACGCAATTCTGGAGGCAGAGATAGTCCTGGAGGGCTTCCTTTTCATGGTCTATGCCCCACTGTATTGCTTTGGGCAGTGACTGGTATCTAAAATAAACATTCATGAATGTAATCAATAAGTGTTTTAATTCCAAAATGTTAAATTTTTTGCATGAAATGTACTGTACCTGTCTAGACCAGATCCTTTAATTATCTGGTCTACCAGGGAGTTAGGGTTAGCACCAGAGCCGAGAACTGCACCAAAGAGAGAACTGGTTATTCTCCCTTTGTGCAGCTCTCTCCATATTGGACAACATCTTTGGCCCTGGGTTCTCTCCTCAATGAATAAGCTGAGGTTTTCATCAATTGAGATTGCCATCGGCACTATTATAAAAACATGGAAAATAAATTTGAATTCTGATCAGTTACAAGTAATTATATAATCTGAATTCTGTGTTTATTTTTTCTTACAGTTCTCCTTGGACAGAATTAGTGCCTTCATTGCCATCTCCATAGGATCCTCAGATGTCTGTACCTCCACTTCTTTTACTACTTCTGGTGTTTCATCTGGGATCATCCATAAATGACACATACCTGACATTTTAAATCATATATTAAATTTGATCTTTTGTTTATTGTAAGAACCTAATAAATACATTCACTGTTGCAAGGCATGATTTATTGATCATTTTATATTATTTGAAATACAGACAAACCTCGTTATCTCGAACTCAATGGGACCAAGAAAAAAAACTGAGATATCCGAGTATTCAAGATATCAAGGGTTAAATACCTAAAGAATAAGTGGCTGGCAATTCCAATTGACATCGACATATCCATGGTATTCGAGATATCGGTGTTCGAGATACCGAAGATCAGCTGTATTTACGAAGTGTTATTGGTGTAAAAATATAAGATATTCTAAAACATCAAATCTCATAATTTTTCACTACATTGTAATACCATATCTATATCCAATTTACAAGCTCACCAGTTTTGGGGAATATTTTCTTAAGAATCTTTAGTTGTTCAATTGAGTGAGCAAGTTGAAATTCCCTCTGATCTGGGTGACGTGGATCAAAGTCAATCTGTTTCTTTTCCCTGAACTCAACCTGGCCTTCCGAGCTCAACTTGGGTCGACTTAAGTTCCAGTCTTTCAAGGGCTTTGGTTCCATTTTCATAGGGCGGGGGACATTCCATTGACATGATTTAGAGGTGGCACTATCCGACATTAGCTTTTCACTAAGTTGTAGGTGGTGAATGTAAAAAAGTAGACCGCCTATGTGGCTGCATGACTGGGCCAAACTTTAATGAAATTTAATTATAGATACAATGTAGACTAGAAGTTAATGCTTGCTGTATATATGAAAGGAGTCAAGATAAAGAAAGGGATTTTATCAAATTAATTTTTATCTTATTGAAAATGCTACCTTACCCAATTGGACATTCACAGTAGGCAAAGCAGACTTTTTGCTTGTTTTCCACACAAATATATACATGGTACTTGATTTTTTTCATGGAGGCCAAGCAGGATCCCCTTATATAATCCACAGAGTCGTCAATCTAAATGTAAGCAACCTTGCATTTTCATATCACTAAATAAACATGTGGGCATGTATAAACATGTGAGCATGTACATATTCAATTTTCATATACACATACAATTTATTAGCTGCAATAATGTAGCCCTCACCATTGTTGTGGGTTTTTTTTCTTGGGGGGGGGGGGGGGGGCTAGCCCTCTCCTAAAAACACCAAATAAAAATTATAGGAGAGGGATACATTATTACAGCTAAGAATTTATCAGTTTGTAATTAATTTAAATTCATAACTCATTTTAGGAAATACAAAATGTTGATAGAATATTGTGTTTGTGCAAGGACAAAAGAATCATATTGTTCTTCTAATTATTATGTGTACACTTGTAATTTTATTTTCTTAAATTTACCTGTGCTATCATAACTTGTGAAATATCACCAGCTTCGAAATGTTTGATGGCTCTGTCAAGACCCCTGTGGTTATTAACTTCCTTCCCATCTGTTGTTTTCCTGAGAATCATATGTTGATAAATTTGTTGGAAGGAAATCTGAGGCATGAAAGTGGGCGTTACCGTAATATACGAGGCTAACTGCAAAGGGGGGAGGTTTTCGTGACCTGGAATGTCTGGTACAACACCTTCCAGGGAAGATGCAAAATATTTGATAGGCACTTCTTGAAGAACTTCCTTTTTTTTCCTCTTTGGATCTTTTGAAATCTCCCGGGTCGCCATCTTTTGATTAGTAAACACGGAAGTGCCCGCAGTGCACTAAAATCGACGCTTTAATAATTTATTTTTGCAAAACATCTCGTATATTTAAATAAAAACAAAAGATCCTAATGTAATAATTACAAAACCACAAAAAACAAACTCAATTTCATATAAATTCTGTTTATTGGGGACGTGTAAATAAGTGTCCTATCTTGATTTTAAACGCGGAAGTGTCCGTAGTACACCAAGATTCATGCTTGAATTTAAAATTTATTTTACAAAACATCTCGTATATTTAAATAAAAAACAAAAGAACTTAATGTAATAATTACAAAAACACAAAAAACAAACACAGTTTCATATAAAATTTGTTTATTTGGGACGTGTAAATAAGTGTTCCGTTTTGATCACTCATAGGAAGAATTGAAAGTAGTTTGCCCTGCGGAAGTCTTTATGCGCATGTGCGGAAATTATCGTGAAACAGTCTATGGGCCGAGGTGTCGTTGGGCCGAGGTGTCTGACATTCAAATGACAGTGTCAGACGTATCCACGCCACGCTTCCAGTCTTTCCGAGTGGATGACACAAACCTGTCCCACTTTTTCCTTACAGCTTGGTCTGGTGGGAACTCGTGCAGAGACGAATTACTGTTGGTGTTGCTGCACCCACCGACAACACACCTACGCACCATCTTTCCTCGTGTTCTTGATGTGACGTCACATCCGATCTCTGGAGGGGGAATACCTAATTGAAGACCTACAGGTAATTGAAGACCTACGGAAGACCTAGGGAAGACCTACAAAAATGTGGGCTATATAAAGCAGAACTGATGTGATATTCTGATTAATCATGTCTTAAATATATAAAATACACAAAAACTTTTTATAAAAAGAAGTTTTAATGTGTATTTTTCAATCTCGATATGGGGAACTATTTCTTCTCTCAGACGACCTACACAAGAACGATAACTCGCGTAAATAACAAATCAGATGTTCACCAAAACATATCAGAAAAATGTAAATAAATTAATAGTTAAATGAAGAAAAATAGAATCATTGAAGATATTTAAAAATAAATACATCAAATATGAAATAATAAAAGGGAATATTCAATTAGATATTATTTTATTTTGTAAAAAATGTAAATAAATAAATAAAATAAAATAAAAACAAAAAACTTAACCAAAGCAGAGACAAAGCAGAGACATATACATATTATATAATACCATAATTTGATCAATCATAAAATATATGTATATTTTTAAATGAATTATTAAATTGTTATTACAAGTTTCCAGATCCTATGAGTGGACTTTTTTTTTTACTGAATTCCTTTATTTCTTTTTTTTAAAATTTATTTTCAAAATTATTTTGGTATATCAATGTACAAATTAAATATTATAATTGAAATAAATATGTTTATGCTTTTGACAGAGTGTTAAAACGTATTAAATATAAGTTAACTAAAAAATCCTAAGTAATTTTTCTTAAAGATCAGAGCCACAATCACTTACAAAATCTTCTTGTATTTCACTGACCCTGAACAGCAAAAAAATAATAATTTATTCACCTCAGGGTGTGTATAACACATTAGTGTTGAAGCCTTTAGTTCAGAGTGGTATCTTACTTTATATGATTTATGACAAATCCACAGTATACATATCAATATTTCAGATTAGAATCTTTAATATTTATCCCATAAAACATATTACATGTTTGAAGAATTGTAATATGAATTAAATATTGACTATAATAGATAACATTGATAGTATACATCTGATGTGAAATAATTATTTTTATATAAAAATCTCATCAAAATTCATATTCAAGCTTATATCTTTATTATAAACATGATTGAAAAACTCAACAAATATCATTTGGATTTTTTTTATTTGTGTATTCCCCCTTACCGATAATATAAACATGTGTTGTTGTTTACAAGTCAACCAGAGTTACCGTTCTTGTGTAGGTCGTCTGAGAGAAGAAATAGTTCCCCATACCGAGCTTGAAAAATACACTTTAAAACTTCTTTTTATAATTTTTTTTTTGTATATTTTATATATATAAGGCATGTTTAATCAGAATATCACATCAGTTTTGCTGTGTATATCCCATATTTTTGTAGGTCTTCCCTAGGTCTTCCGTAGGTCTTCAATTACATGTAGGTCTTCAATTAGGCAGGCCGCTCTGGAGGCGCCATTTACGGAACGAGCCGAAGATTTCGAGCTAAAAATAGCAGAGGGGATTTCGTGATCACTGTAGTTTTCTGTAGGTGTTCTATGTGGTTTTCATTCCATTATTGCAGGTAAGATAGTCAGTCATCGAAAAGAAACAAATAATGATTAGGCCTACTTGTTTGCTCAGTCTATTTGTGTATAAAAGGAATGTACATGTCTCTAAAAACCACAGGTACTTGGGTCTTGGTTTATAAATATGAATACCTATTGAATATGTATTTTTTTTCCAAATATTTAATATATATATATATATATATATATATGTATTATATGTAATAGTTTGTTTCCCTGAAAAAGTGATATACTGTCCAGTAATATAAATTTTCATTAGGAGTGTAATCATACCGCTAACTTTTTGGCCTTGTCCCTCTGTGTGACCTTGACGTCAGTTATCCCAATTTTGTGTTTAACCCAGTTCCGAAGCAACTATTTAGGATGTTTTTATCAAAACTTTTACGAATATACATATTGATGAGAGACATTCAACTATAACATGATTTCCTAATTAACCTTTACATTTCTTGAGACGTTGACCTCCCTAATCCTTATTTTGTGATTCAGGACATGATTCGTAAAAGGAAGAGAATTATCTTTGTCCGCCATATTAGATTTCTCAAGACTGTCGATCTCAAGCAGCTATATAAGCCTCGGCTTTGTACAGAGTTCATTGTATTTTGCTTCACCATGTGTTCACAGAGTACACCGGAAAAAATGTCTCCTTCATTGTCATTGTGTTATACTTGGGTGCAACAAAAATTACTTCTTTTTGCTTCCGCCAAAAAAAGTTAACAAATATATTGTATATCAATTGTACAGGTCAATGTGAAAAAGTGAAATATGCAAATAATCACTTTCAGTGAAATAAAAACATAAATAAAAAGGACAATATAAGAAACATATGTACTACTTGCTGCTGCGATAAGGTAAAAGCAATCAAGTGTAATGAATGCAAATGGTTTATATACCCCAGTGCTGATATAAGAGATAGGAAATTTAATATGATGTATGCCTATCTATGAGTCATGTTCAGCTTTAAGCTCAGTTTTAATGAAACTGTTGAAGATAATTTACCCTAACTTATACAATGATACATTTTGGTGGGAGATATTGAACTGCACCCAAATTTTTGACCTTAGAATATCATCAAATGTTTTTAGTAAATGCAGAGATAATGTAAATGCATCTATGATAGAAGATGTGTCATGTACGTATTAGTAAGGTCACTGTGACCTTTAATTAAATTAATGCAGTAATCTAATTAATAAAGATTACTTTAAACAGCTTTATACATATGCATTAAATAAATGCAGACTTAACAGTGCCTCACACAGGAGACAGATGATGTACATATTATAGTGTAAATCCATTCATCCCATGGGAGCAGTGGTCCAAGCCGTTGAGGTTCCAGGCATGCAAAGAGCATTTTGATAAGAGCCTAACTGCATATGTCCAGTTAAAGATTCATAAATGAGTTTAATGTAAGAAAGCTGTCTCAGTCATTTCTTTCAGAGCATCTCTGACCATGCAAGTGTTACATGTATCCTTATCTCTCAGGAACTTGACAGAAGAATTAAAGATTCCCTCTCTTAATTACAACTGATAGCATCTGTCAAGTTAAAATATATAGTCTTTGGTGGCCATACTTCTGATTCTAAATTTGATATAAAATTATCAAAATTAGTTTTATATTGTGTAAAATAATATTTTAATTTTATTTTTTATATCTCTGCAACCAAATTGAAGATTTGAGTCATATATATATGTTTTTAAGACTATAAGATCACACTGCCAGATGGTTGCACTTAAGTTAATTTACAATCTAATAATAAAAAAGCCATAATGATAAGTATAATCTATTTTTATGTTTGATAAGGATGTGGCTTTGTTCATCATTCATTTAAAGAAAACAAAAACAATTTTTAATTAGCAATTAAATTTTGACCATTTATAGTATTAACATATTGTAAACACACTCTCAGATCCATAAGAAACTTTTAGCAATTAATACATATTTAAAAAAAAAAAAGAAAAAAAGCGGGATATTTGTCTATCCTGGACAGTTCTAGTTTCTTTTTGTTGAGATTCAACTTCAAGGTACTGTATAAGCGGAAATTTTAGCAAGACACAAGCAATTTAGCAAATAAAATTGGTATATAATTTTAGCGAGAAGTAATTTTAGCGATTTTATAATGTCAAGAGAGATAGCTATAACAATCGATAGGGAATAAAATGTTAGCGATATTCAATTTTAGTGATCTCAGAACCCTTGCGAATAATGCCAAAATTGAATCCACACAAAAAATTCTGCTTACACAGTAATTTCCACATGCAGAGCCAATTTCCTTCTTAAATGTCAGTCATTATGCAACAAATTCTCTTCTTATAATTGGCTCATGCAAATGAAAAAGAATTAAATTAATTAAAAAAAGAGGGAGATAGACTATTTTCCTGAATATCTTGCATAGTTGATGGGGTATGGCATTAAAAATATGATCAGA